TAACAATATTTCCCCCTCTCCTTAGTGCATATAATTACTTTATTATATGTTTACTACTCTATACTTGTGTAATTATCCTCCTATGTGCTGGTATAGAAATGGTATTTGCAAAAGTAAGTTTGGCATCCTCCTCTTAGTCAGTTGAACTCAATTGTGTCATTACTCACAAGTAATGCATTGATGTTACATAGCTCCTTATGTCATTGTTACGGCCTTGAAGTATTATTTTCATGTCTTCTACTACTGGTCCGTAATTTCAAATATAAAAAATGATTATGACCACCAAAACAACAATCTCAAAGATTAAAGAGTCTAAGTAAAGCAATTTGTATAATTATGGGTGGCAGCCCAAGGGTGAAAGCCTAGCATGGGTTGATCCCAATTGGTATAAAAGGGTGGCAGCTCAGGGGCGAAAGCCTAGCATGGGCCGTGTCACGCCCAAAATCCCATTAAGGCGGACCGGCACCCATTGCCGAGAAGGCTCGGGAGGACCAACCTGTAATCATGCTCTATCTATGAACATTTAAAGGTTTTGCCATAGTGGATACCATGTTTTCATGAAAGTAGACAGTATTAGCCAAAAGAAAGTGTACATGACTTGGCCGTTGGGACCATGATGTCTAAGACACGAGGCACAACCACACTTCGCAATACATAGTCTATAAAGCCTCAAAATGAAGAAACATTATGGGGTTAAGGTTGAGACAGGCCCCACCTTACACTCAGCAACTATACAATACCAAAATACATGCTATAGACTCAGAAAGCCCCGAATCAACATGGAGCTCACCAATTGCCGCTGGATGTCCTGTTCTCCTACTGGGGAGATCTACTAGCTCCTGTACCTGCAACATGAATTGCAGGTCCCCCGAGAGAGACGTCAGTACGGGAGAATGTACTGAGTATGTAAGACATAAAGTACTGTATGTGAAATAAGAACTCAAATGAAATCATATACCAATGTAAGAATACAAGACCACCTTTTCTCATATTATGGAATCAGGTACTTTACATTCTTTTCTTTACACTCTGTGCACAACATACTATACAAATGACCAACTGATCAGTGGTAGACATATAAATCTGGATCGACCCATTCTAGGCTTTCCTTTAACCCCTAGGATACCACCCGTAATATTGAGATCGACCCATGCTAGGTGATTCTTCCGCCCCTGGGATACCACCCATCAATAAGCAGATTCATTTAATATCCTTTCGTTAACATTTGAGATGATTCTTTTGGTGGTCATAGCATTTTGAGTTGTGGGACTATGTAGTCAACAAGTGACATGTAATAATCATATAATGCAAGAACAACAAAGTAGAGAGTAGTTACACAATTAGTGAAATGCATAGGA